TACAATTTTACTTGTTTCCCTATTTTCTAATTGCACTAAAATGTCTTCAATTTTGCTTATTATCGCATTTATATTTTCAATTTTGCGTCACATTGTTTTCTTCAACCTTACATATATTTACATAAACAAAAAATAATAAATAAAAAAAGTATATTTGCCTCTAATTATAAAACATGATAACGAAATATTTGAATGAAAACCATTATGAGGGGATTAGATATACTATTTAATGAAAATATTGAGCACCTAAAAATACACAACAATTGAAAGACCTTCTCGGCCATTTAGTTCTCATTTGAAATGCAGTATTCTAAAGCGGCAGAGTCTTGGTGGGAAAGTCCCTCCAGAGCTGTTTAGACTCCCTTACCTCATAGAAATGTAAGTGCATCCCTTTTTCTTTTTTTTTTTTTTATCTGTAGAACAGACACACAAATATANATTCGAATGTCATTTTATACAGTGATCTCACTCGCAACTACCTTAACGGCACTATCCCTCGAGAATGGGGTACCATGCAACGACTTGCACGCATGTATGACATTCTTCAACTCCCTCAATGCTTTCTGTAAATTCATTTATTGTGCATGTGTATTTATGAGTGTGTGCTTGTGTATTTGTGGAGCAGTACTAAAATAATTTTGGTTCACTGCAGTTCCCTACTGGGAAATCGTGTAACTGGTGGATTACCAATCGAACTTGCCAACATCAGCACTCTCTTAAATCTGTAAATTTCTTAATTACGCATTGCGATTTACCCTCTTTTATAATGGTATGTGAGTGAAACCATGATTCAATTAATGTATATGTCATTTAAGATTTTCCTTGCTTTCTGAAAAACTTGCAGAACCCTAGACTACAATCAATTGTCGGGAAATATTCCTCCGCAGTTTGGGGATTTTTCAAGTCTAGAGAAATTGTAAGGTCCTTTATTGAAAAATTATCTTTGAATCAATGCACTCTGTAGTTTCTCAGATGATTAAAGTGGATGGATTTACTGTTGTATTATGTTAATATTTGAAGATCTCTAATATCAAACAATTTAACTGGGGAATTGCCTCAATCTCTAGCGAAGTTGACTACAATGAAGGACTTGTGAGTTCCTCCTCATTCTTTTTCCCATTTTCGTGTGTTCTTGTTTTCTATTTATAACACAGATATGGTTTGATCTTTATGTTAACTCCATAATTGTATTCATAATGCAGCCGTATAAGTGACAACAACTTCAGTGGAAACATACCCAATTTTATCGAGAGCTGGACAAGTCTTCGAAGATTGTGAGACGATATATATTTCATAGTCTCTTTGATCTTTCATTTACATTTTC